AATCTGCAAAGTTCCAAGAATGACTTGTCCTTCGACAATTTTTTAAAGTACGCCGCCCATGAACGAGTGAATTAAGGGAATTATCAATTTAGATGAATGAGTTTTAAATACTCATCCAATTTAAACAAGCTACAAAACCCATAAATGACAACCCTGATTGATAATGTCCAAGTGATAATACAAATATTCATGTCCAGGTAAGAAACTACAAGTGTATTCCCCATGTTGTCTAATGTTTTCAAGCTGTTGATTTATAACTTGTTACACATTCTCTGTACACTTTCCATACAATGCTTTGTTATCATTTCACATGTGAGAAACAGAGGCACCAAATGGTTAGTAAAACTTTTGAAGGCCAGGTTGCTTTTAAAAGGCAAAGCCAGTGCTCAATGCCAGACAAAGAGAATGCATGATCTCTGCAACTCCTTCCATGTATCCAAAACCTGTAGTAAATATATAGTTGCATGGATTTCCCAAACAGATGGATAGATCATTGTTTGTGTTTGTCATTGTCAAAGACTTGTCAGTTCTTTTGTTTTGATCTATTCAATTCAAATGAAATTCTGAACTTCTACTATCTTCCTCCACAACAGATAACTGTAGCAAAGAACCATGGAAGAAAGCAGGTATTTCTACAAAATAGGGAGACATGTCATGATCAACAAAGAACTCATTAACAGGAAGATGAATCAAACTTACTGACAGTATCTGTCCATTTTAACTACAGGCCTCAACATCCTTCTAAAACTTGTTATTTGCCTATTGAAAATTATCTAGAATCACTGCTCACTCCTACAAGTTGAAAGAGAATGTAATTCATTTTAGCTTTTCTATAAGGGCTTAAACAATTACACATAATTATTTAATTTTCACACAACCTAACTCCTTTGTGCTTGTGGAACATTTTATATGTACACTGCAACAGTAATTCTGATACATTCAAATTTTGCTGGCAGTTGGGTGGTTGCATATATTAAAGAAGGCAGAAGAAGCTGGGCATAGGTGGCTCACACCTGTAATCCTAGCTACACGGGAGGCTGAGATCTGAAAATCATGATTTGAAACCAGCTTAGACAAGAAAGTCTGTGAGACTTATCTCCAATAAATGGAAATGTAACTGTAACTGAAGTGATAGAGCACTAGTCTTGAACACATAAAAGCTAAGGAGCAACACCAAGGCCCTGAGTTCAAGCCTTAGGAAGGCAAGAAGAAGGAGGGGGAGAAAGAAGGAGTATTTAAAAGATGAATCACAAGCTGTCTATACTCTAGAAATTTTAACTTTGACAAATACTAATGAGATAAATTAACTACTTTTTCCAATGATGTATTTTTCTAACTGCTATATATTTGATGTATTTTTACTGTCACTAAGGATAACTTTAAAAATGATCATTGAACTTAACCTTTTAGCTTCCATATTTTTCTTTTACTTTCTACAGTTTTTAATTAGCATTAATTAGTTGCCCAGTGGGATTTCATTTGGGTATGCCCATATATGCATGCAATTTACTTTGCTCAAATCCATCCTCTCCTTCAATCTCTCCCTTTCAAACCAAGCCTCCTTGTTTAATTTTCACATGCATACAAAAGTATTTTGACCATATTCATCTTCCTTCACCCTTCCTATTAGTGCTCTTTCTGCTCGTATCCACACTTCCCTTGGACTTGTTTTATATTCCTGTCATTCAATTTTTATGCCTATGCTAATTTCTGGAAGCCTATGCTAATTTAATTTTAAGCCTATGCTAATTTCACTGTGGCATTTCATACTGTTTCCTCTCATTCTTTCCTAGGAATGCAAGTGTTGTCATCACATCATATTTTCTTTCCTATTTTGATTTCACATATGGAGTATTTATATTTTAATGAATTATATAAAATATTAATTATATGTATTTCAATGAATTATATAAAATATTCATAAAATAGATGAGGTGTATAGTTGATTTCTTTTTTATTCTGCCAATGGAATCATTTGCATTATATTTCTATGCATCTCACTTAAGTAGAATAAGCAAACCATCTCTTTATTTGTAGTTATTGCATTGAATGTTGACAGAAAGATTTTCATATGCCTAATCATTTGTATGACTGATAGATTCAAACTGTAACCATGACACAGATTGAGAATATTGCATGGAAAGCTTATAACAGAAATAACTCAAAAAACATTTTTTTAAAAAGACTAATAAGCCACAGACGATATATTTTCTGGGATTAAAAACTTAAATAAGACACATCTTTAGCACTAAAAATACTGCTAGTAACAACAATGATATATAAAGACTTGCAAAGACATTTTATTTTGTCTGTATCTAACATACAAATGAAATAGCTTTTCTTTGAAAATAAAACATATTGAATAGTGAGTGAGGGCTCAAACCGGCATTTAACTTTTGCCAATTCTGAGCTTCAACTCAGCGCTTTCCTCTCGAGCTCAGCTTGGGTACCCATGCTGTGGCTCTACAACCTCAGCCATGCTTTCAGCCAGGCTTTTTGCTGTTGATTTTGTAGATGGAATCCCCTGGTTCTTTTTTTAAAACTTGGGCTAGCTTCATAACTCCTCCAAATCTCAGCCAACTGATTTACTAGGATGACAGGTATGAGCCAGCCGTGGCTGGCAACTTTTCAAAAAACTAATTTTGTAGCTTGTAGGCATTCTTCAGTAACTACAAGGACACATGGTAGGAACTGAGTTCTCCATTCTTAAGTGTAGAACAGTCTTTACTTTTCAGTGGCTGATGACCTAAAAAATGAGAATTGCTAATGAGCCATTAACTAGATGAAACTCAATGCCCCTTTGCAATGGACATGAAGTAACAATTTTGAATCCTGATGATTGAGAGGCAATGAACTTACTTAGTCAAAGAGTTTGTATTTTATGAATATCATAGGCACAAAGATGATCTAGGATTTAACTTTAGAAACGGAGTTACTATTTTCCCTTGAAAGGCACCAGGAACCTCTGGATTCTACTACTGATGGATTCTAATTACTGATTTAGAACTTGTGATGGATAATTACAAGCTTGGAGTGGTTTCTAAGAATTATTTTTCTCTTCCAACTAGACACCAAAAACACAAAATTACCAGAACTGATCAAACGTACTTTCTAACCTTGCCCCAAATTGTGTTTAAAAAAATACTGTGATGCTATTAATCATTTCACCAAACATCTGTTATCTGATATCATTGTTTAATTACACTTCACAAAACATGCATTCTTCCTAGATATTCTCTTTTAATCTTTTATTAATTCCAGATTGCTAAAAATGTCTCTTTTGCAGTAATTATTTATTTAATAATTTTTTGATTACATGCTTCTTTTTTCTGGGTCATGAAATTGATGTTTTTATTTGATGTTTTTATGGTCTTTTGATCTTTCTGGGCAGCCTCATCTACTTCATTCCCTACTTGACAGTGGAATTGAGCCTTCAAATTACATTGGGCAAAGCTTTGAAATGGAATTTTTCTAGTTTTGTAACTTACCTGAAATGTAACTCTTCACCCACCCTAACCGAATAAAACCTTTAATTAGCTAAGGAGAGAATGAATGGTACCAAATAAAAAGTAATTCAGTTTAAAAGGAAAAAAAAGGTTTTGTTTGTTTTCTTTCTTGGGCTTTTCTTCAAAGTCTATTCTTTCTTTGTAAGGATTGTGTACATAAAAACCTCAGAAGGGAGGTCAGAATAACCAGCCTCGGTAATCAGACCATGTTGGCCCAGCATTTAGCTAAGTAAATAAGAATGCAAGTTTATTCCCTGTTCAGAGGCTGGCAGCAAATTTGCTAAGTGATTGATTTGATGCTAATTTTCTGCTTGGACTGAGAAGTCTTTCAAGGCCTGTCCTACGGGAGGAAAAGAAACCTAGCCAAGTTGACTAAGCTCTATTTTGGGTTTTATTTTGAGTCCCAAAAATTTGGACACTTCTCTTTCCCAGAAAAAAAAATAACAAACTGAATCTCTAAGCGATTCTTACTTATGGTGTTCAAAACAAAACAAAAAACCTTCAATTTATTCTCCAGAAGATAGCAGAAATTCTGTATGTTCAAATAACAGATCGTTCTGAGGGTAGAATTTAAACTAGCAGAATGGTGGAGGGTACTGTCATTCTGTCCATCTTAACATCCTGTCTCTTTATATCTGTGCTCAGAGTTGGAGAGAACCCCACACAGAGAACCTTGCCTGTGTTTCTACCATTGGCCTAGATGGCATTGCTAGTCTTCTTTCTGTTACTCTAACCAATACTAGAGGTGATCAGCTGTTGGGGCTCACCATGTGGGAGGGCTTAGACTGTGATCAAGCAGACCTATTGCTTTCAGGACTCTGATGGTAGAGTAAGAGATGGCATTTCATGGTAGAATCACAAGGCATAGCAAATCCATGCAAAGTGGCCAAATAATGAAAAGGCAAAGATAAAGCAAGGGCAAGAAAAAGAGAAAAAAGAGGGGCACAAATCCCAATATCTCCTTCAAGGGCACCTCCCCCACTCCTCCCCTCACCCTCTGTAGTGATCTGATTGAATGATCCCCCATGAAACCCAACTTCTTAGTTTCTGCCATCTCCCTAGAGTATGAAGCTGGGGACTAGGTTTATGACACATCCACCACTCAGGACCAAACTAGAGAAGACTTAAGAACCTTTTCGACTTTGTAAAAATTGCCTTCTTTGTCTTGACATAGCCATGAATTGAGGAGAGAGGTATGGAGTTTTTTTTTTCTTTTTTATTGCCATATGTAACTCATGGGATGAGCACCAGAAATAAAATGAGAATCGCGATGCATAAAGATGTGTTGTTGAATAGGATGAAGGAAGAAATTTTCTCATCACAGCCTTTGGGCAGTTGAGTTTGCTTCTGGAATTTTTTTCATATATACCATGTTCACACAGTAAAATGCAGTTCTGTTTTGAAATCCTACGAGGTTCAGTTCTTTTCCTGTTACTCTCCTCCTATGCTGTAACCTCTGTGTAGGCTAATTTTTCTTTTCATATTTGTTACCAGGACCCCAAATTACGAGAGCTTCTGGATGTTGGGAACATCGGGCGCCTGGAGCATCGCATGATCACCGTGGTGTATGGCCCTGACCTCGTGAACATCTCCCACTTGAATCTCGTGGCTTTCCAAGAAGAAGTAGCCAAGGTATGGTAAATGGAAATCTCAGAAGCTCTTTCTTCCTTCTGGATTCATGTGACAGTGTGCAAACATTTGGGAAAGATTTTGGATTTATGTCATATTTAGCCTAGGTTAAAATGCTATCTAAAAATAACTCAGTTGCCAAGAATAGGTGCAATTTGAACACTCCCAAGTAAGACACATCTACTTTGAATTGTGTATGTTTTTTTTTCTTTTTCTTTAGGAATGATGCCTTTGATATAATTTCTTTGTAAAACAAAAATGTACATAAAGCCATATTTCATTTTATCTGAATATCTTAAGTTATCCTCCCTTGTCTTGGCTTGGTGTCTAGAGCATTTTCAACTCCCTATCCATTTCTTAACTCTGTTTAAGGGAAGTCAACTTAAGCGCGTTTAGTTTTTATTGATGTTTATTGAGACAAAGTCACACTAATAGTCCATCTACAGACCACCACCATTCCTATAGCAGTTATTCAATTATTATATGAAATAACAAAACTAAAATCTTTAAATTAAAATTTAAAATAATAATAATACTTATTTAGCTATAGATTTCAATGTTGTATTAGATATGATTATCCATTAAGGAATTGCTATTTTTCTAAGACATTGAGGTTTTTTTCAGATTCATACAGAAATAACTAGAATATAGGCACAGACCAGCACACCGGAAGCAATGAACTTCAAGGATGATGCTTCCAATAGAACTGCTCAATTGGCATTTAAAAGTACTAAGCCAGGCCCAAAGAAACATAGGTCCCATGGTTTCCCTTATTTGCAATAACTAGTATATGTCTGAAACAAGCAGAAACAGTCAAATAATTTGATGTTAGGTGGAATGAACCCCAAGATAAAGACTCAAATGGTTTTTCTTTCTTGCTATTGTTTCTAACATATTTATGAGATGATTTCTTTGTTGCTTTGTATGTCCCTTCCCTACAGTATAACCCCTGTTTTCACTGTATTTGATGTTGCTATAATTTGGGGAGGGGAAGGGAAAACAAAAATTGTTTTAATCAAGCAACTATGGATTAATGGACTAAGAACATCAAAGAGGGATTAAGCAGACCAGAAATTAATAGGGTTAGGGAGAATTGTGTGAGAAAACAGGATTAGAGGGATATGGAGAGGTGAAAGGAAAGAGTGAATTTAACCAACTCCTAATCGCTGAGAGGAAATGGGTAGTACAGAATGAAAGGAGGGAGATAAAGAAACAAGAAAAAAAAAAGAAAAAACAAAAATTTAAATTTGAAAAATAAAACACTTAAAAATTATCTAAATATAAAAAATAATACTGATAGAAGAAAAGGATAGGATGAGAGGAAGAGAGGGATAAAAAGGAAAAATTTAAAAATTAAAAATTAAAAAATGGGATACTTATAGGTATAAAAAATACTACTATTATAAGCCCAAGAGTTTGTGAATTGAGTAATAAATTTCTGAATTAAGTATGGAAACAACGAAGGATAAGGTTTAATAATTGATGATGGGTATTTATCTGGGGTGGCAGAACAGCAATTAAGTCACAAAAAAGACCAAAAGGTTAAAAGATCTTAAATGCACACACACACACACACACACACACACACACACACACACACACCTAAAGTGAAAATTTTTAAAGAAATTAAAAATAGAAAACAATTTTTTAATTAAAAAAATTAGGTAGAAAAACTAGTTAATTGATTTTTTGGGGGGGCGGGATCTTGTATCTCCCCTGTTTCCGTAACCAGTCTCTTGATGGAGTCTCTGGTTTGCTTGTGGTGTTTGGTTTTCCTGTGCCTTGATTGGTTTCTTAAGTCAGTTTGTTTGAGCAGGCAGAAAAATGTGATCCTCTTCTCAGGCTAGTTCAGTGGGAGGGAGATCTGCTTTGAGTATCACAAAAGAGGGAGATGGCTGTTTCCTCTAGCTTGGAGTTGCTGTGATGAGGCTAGGTTCTGAGTAGGGTTGAGGCCTATCAGCAATCTGTAGCTTTTCCCTGAAGAGCTAGCTCCTGAGACACTCACAGAGCCCATCCTGGAGCCATTCTCAGAATTTATGTTTACTGAGTTTCAATTGTTTGTCTTTTACCCCTCCTGTCTGTGCTGCAGTGGGGAGGGGCAGCCTCTGGCTTGGTTCACCCAATGAAGAAAGTCACTCCTCCATGGGCAGAGCTTCCTCTGCCTGGGAAGGCCAACTTTCCAGTGGGTGGAGCTGAGACCTGCAAGTCAGGTTAGGTTCCTGTGACCCACTGAGTGGCTCCTATTGTTTTCTTCCAAGGCCTGAGTTGGAGCTAGCTGCTGGAGCCAGGCCTTTGTCAGTATCAAAGATGGAGTTCTTCTCCAATGGTGGGGGAGGGGCTACCTTCCCACCACTGCTCTGTGAGAAGGAGTAAGGATGTCTTGGGGTATACTCACTCTGGTTTTGGGGTCTGTGATCAGCAGGATGAAGATTTCTGTTCCTTGTCAGTTCTTGCTGGTGGTGAATAGAATCTGCTCACACACCGCATCTGGCACCTTTGTCCCAAGCTCTCTATGTTGATATGGCAGCTGCAGCAGCAGCAGCATATGCCACCGAGGACACGGGAAAGTGCTCAGATCTGTCTCCTTGACCAAGCTGCCTGGATTTATCCTCTCTGGCCAAACTGTGATGGCACACTTGGTGTGATTCTCTAGCCTAGGACTGTTCACTGGAACACTAAAACTGCTTTTTACGTGAGAGTTTGTTTAGCCTCCAGCTTCTTCTCTGCCATCTTCCTCTGAGTTCTGTGATTTTTTTTAACCTTTGTTGCCCTGGCAATTTTAGGAGCTATCATGAATGTCTTATCCTGATCTCTAATTTGGCAATGATTTTTGGTAGTGATTTGTGTTCAATATTTTTCTAATAGACTCCTATTCCTACAATAGAATGAAAGAAATGTCAACCAGTTTTAATTCTCTAAGTTGTTTAGAATACACTTTCCCAATATTTTAAAACTTGAATCTATTTTCTCATTAACAACTGTTACCCATTTACTTCTATAGGATAGTTTACACGTGGGAAGATTTCAGGGCAATGGAACTTTGGGTGACAGCATTAAGTTCTTGCCTGCAGCAGTCATTATTCTGACATCCCACTTTTAACAAGTTACATTGTTAACATATTTCGTTCCTCAGTACATAGATAGATGGTTGCATGAATGGATCAATACAGACAAACAAATGCTAAAGGCAATTTTTTATTACTTTCCCAAAATATAACCATTCTTTTTTCTTTTAGAGATGACCAATGTATGATAGTCATTACACCTCGAGTTAAAATATTCAATAAATGGCAGTCACTCTCAGGGAAATTTTTTACTAACATGAATACTGGTCTTCTATTTCATGCCAATCTGCCTATGTTAAGTTGCATTAAACCTATATTTCAAATGTATGCAATTTCCTTCTCTATGTGATTCCTACCCAGTTGATTTCCATAGAGGTTTTAATTCAGAGACTCTGTAACATTCCCTATTAAGACTATATCTATAAAAAAAATGTTAGCACCTGTTAGGTTTTGATTCAGAGACCTTGTAACATTCCTTATTAAGACTATATCTATAAAAAATGTTAGCACCTGTTAGCACTTGGTGTCTCTGGTACAATTCCTGAAGCAAGGAAGTGTGTTTTTATCTTTTCTAGCAGCAAAATTTGTAGGGTATGTCCTCCCCACTGAAAGAGCTCAGAGTTAAAAATCTATAAACACTATTTTACTTATACAACTTTTTTTCATACTCTACTTGTTAGTGCTGTCTCACAACATCACACCTATATTTCATCTCTTGGGCCAATGTATGTGATATCTTGAGTGATGCTGGATTTCTGTCCTTATGTGGAATACCAAACAGGATCCCATGCTTCTTTAAAATTTACATTTCTCTAAGAGAGAATGTTTACCAGTGGATTCCAAATCATTCAGTTATTCAATATAGTCACAATCCCAGTACCAGATACAGAGCCGTAAAGAAAGACATTTTCTCTGACAACGTCTGAGGAAGAAAATAAATTAAGTTGTAAATGTATTGTATCTCTAGTAAAGATCTATATGGAAGAAAAAAGCCAGAGGAAAGTAAGTGTGAGAAGAAAAGGAAATTAATTCTGGATGGTATGTATGGATCATTCAGATAATATGCAGATTAAGAAGAAGTTGCTCAGAGGCAGCTCTTTCACAGATTCTGAGAAATCTATTGGATCAGTATAAACTTAAACTGGGACTTAAATCTTCTTAAAGATATAATTCTAGATATGCGTGCTTTTTGGTCTTCCCTAAATCACTTGCACTTGAAATATTTTTTATTTTATTTCATTCTATTTTATTTTATTCTTCGGCCTATTACCATGGCTTGAACTCAACTTGGCTTGCTAGCTTGGCTGGCACTTTACCAATTGAGCCATACTTTCAGCCTGGCTTTATGTTGGATAATTTGGAAAAAGAGGCTCATGGAATTTTCTTCCCAGGATGTATTCAAAGTGAGATCTTAAGTAGGTAGGGTTATAGGTATGAGCCATCCGGAGCCATTCAGAAGCTGAATTTTTAATTTATTCCTTCAGTGAATCCTTTGAGAGAGTCATGAAGAGGAAGTTATCTTTCCGCTTCTCTCTCTAGAGCTGGGATTAAAAATAAAACTGCAATTAAACAACAATCATACATTTCTTACCCTTCTTGACTTATCAAGCCCTTCAGACCCTAATAGTCATTTTCCTTCCAGGAGTCTATCCTGTGAATAGGTTTTGGAAATGGGAAATTTGTTTAACATGTTCTCTCTGTATCACACAATTCAATCTTCATGCACCCTTGTTTTCCTGTGACCAATGAGAACCTTGTGTCTGCTACAACTTGGAATTTCCACATTCAAGCCAACTCCCCGAGTTGTCCTGAGTTCTCTGTAAGGCTGCAAAGGAGGTGGTGAATGTCACCATCTTCTGGTACTCTCCTATGCTTGGCTCTTAAGTTGTCTACTTATGGCTACATGATGTATAGTAACATTGTAGGTATCATCAATCA